TCGTACACACTAACTTGCAGACGAAATTTCACTTGAAAACAAACTTATAGATTTATTTTATGTTGGTCACTCAACTTTAATTTTTTAATTTAACTATTTTGTTTCTTAAACAAAACTAAATGATAGCCGTTATTTTGCGAAACATATTGAAATGAAAATCGATTCTCAGATAATTCATTTGAGTTTTTCTTGTTGGCAAAAACAATTGATTTCATTAAAAACAAGCGCTAGGTAACACATTTCATGAATCGTGTTGGATTGACCGTAAATCGTTATGATCCAAAGCAACTTTTCCAAATTCAATTCACTTAGTCAAATTTAGTTGTCGCTAAATACTTGGCTGCTTAATTCTTTGCTCCATGATCATAGTTACAGGAAATGGTATAATGAGCATCAATGCTATATGCTGCTAATCATTGATGACATGTTATCTCAATTCAAGGCTCGTCATATTTTTTTCTAGCAATAAATTGATGTGTTACATTATTGTCACTTAATATAAGACAAGCACAGATATTCATTAGATTATTTGTAGACTTGGCGATCAAAATGAAACATAAGTGTAAACTAGATGATCAAATAGAAATAATTTAAAGTTGGGTGATTGGCGTGAAACAAGACGGTAACTTGGGGGCATTGCCTCCAAGCTTGATCGATCTCGAACCATGCCACACTACCCTTTACCCAAACTCTATATATACACCTTAAAAATCCCTCCTATCTTCTTCCTCTTATCATTATTATCCCCTAAACACACACAACAAGCGTACTTTCATGTATCTTATATGTATACATTTAATTGAAGGTGAGTTTTAGTTTTGTTGAATCGATTGTGAGGTTGAGTGCATTTTTTTTATCATATAGAATCGCTTTGCGCTGAAGTTTCGGAATCTTCTACATAGTACTATCTTTCATTTATACCTTTAACTGCTTTTTACATATACTTATTGATGCAGATGAACATTCTCTCTTGTATATTTAATTGAAACGATTTATTTACTAGATTTAAGATGTCTTCTGTGGATTTATTTTTTATTTTTATTTTTTTCGTTCAATAAATTATTAAATTTTAATTGGAAAGGATTAACAGGAAGCCCATGACGGATTTTTGAATGATTTTTGAAAGTAACTTTAGGCTGAAGTCTTGGTGGATGAAGTAAAAGTGAAGGGGGGTGAGTGTGATCTTTATAGGAAAGCGTTTGTGTGGTTAACATGTGATGTGGATGTTCAGTTTTAGCTTTTCTGAATAGGGGGAACTACATTACAATAAAGATCACACCTTACCTCTGAAATTTTTTGCCGTGTGATATGAAGATCAATCAACCCCACGTGCCATGACTTGAATTGTGGATTTAGATCAATTGGGTTTTCTACGAATTCCCTTCCTGAGGTCTTGATTCCAAGCCACTAAGGTTTAAGTTCAACTCATCATGCATGCGCAGATACATGGATTTACCATCTAAAGACGTGGGATGTGGATGCATTCATTGATTTTCTGAAATAACAATTTAGTAAATTTTCAGTGGTTGTCATTTCGAAATTCGTATACTATGACAGCAGTTGAAACTTGCAGGACCCTGTTTTTCCAAGAACAATTAAGGGGCATTTCTGGAAACTAATGATTTTGGGGAAAAACATTTTAATGATGATTTGAACTAATAGGATGGTTAAAGAGAACTACTGAGGGTTGATTAGGTGGAAGGTTAATATTTATTCATTTGAAGATGTCAAGATACTCTATTTTCATGTGTTAATGTTGATCTAATTGACTTCACTGCTAGAATATAGGTACTTTTGTGAAGCATCGTATTTGTCCAGATACAGACGGCTTTTGGACAATTGTGAATGATTCTTTGAACATATTGTGCTGATGCCTTGACCATTTCGGATGTGGGAGTTCAAAATTTTTACTAATTCAAAACTCCTATAGGAGCTATGTCGGGACTCTTCCAAATGTGAAACCAAGCTCTGAAACTTAAACCTCACTATTTTGAACATGGAAAGAAAGTTCACTAAGGACCATATTAATAGGAAGTAGGATGTTTCATTTGAATGTAAGCATCCTTCGGATCCATTGCGACGATTATTGGCATTCTTTGGGACTGTGCTTCAGCACAACAAGTGATGCAACTATGGGCCAAACAGCTTGGTTTACATTATGATCGAAGGTTTCTCTGCTTCCTACATTCCAAAAATCAAAAAAATTAATAGTGCCTTCGCTGCTCCTCTGATTTGTAGTTGCTTGGATTTATATTCTTCCAATTAAGATATCGCCAATCATTAATAATATGTTAACAGCATTCAACTGTGCCAAGTCTTAATTGCTTGCTTTATTGTGTTTCCACATATTGAGTTTCAGTTACAAGTACTTTTTAATATTCAGCATTGATCATTTAATAAATCACATTTTGCTGAAGCTAGATCTTCATAAGTTGATTTATGAGTAAACAAGAGCTAATTGTATTCTGAATTGGAAATTTTTTTAGAGACTTGGCACAGGAGGGGAAAAAATTATTTGTAAGATATTAGAATTTCTCATCAATGCTTTCATGTAGTGCATTTTTTTGAAGTGTTATGCGGGAAATTTCTTTCAGTAATTAATATGCTAGAACTGAATATCTTTCAGCACTCCAATTTTAGCCTTCTGGCAAATTACTGTTGCATTATTGCTGATGATATTTAAAGATCATTACTTTCTTGGGAAAATATTTTTTAATTTTATTGAGCTGATTAGTTGTGCCTTTTCATCCTTCGTAGCTGAGAGCTGTGTCGAAGCAAGCTTAGCTGGGCATCACCATAGTTTTCTTGGACAGAGACGTATCTCGAGTTGTTTAGTAGTCTCTGAAACAAATAATAATGTATGAGCCAGAATCAGATTCTGCTTCTTGGGGTATTTTCAACTTGGACCAAATCTTCAATAATAATCACTATGGGGACCAGACTCAACATGATGTGAAAATCTGTCGTGAATGGTATTCTAGCAATAGTCATTTTGACACAGCGAGTGACAACATTGACAATGATGAGAGTATTGCACATGCTCTTCTTGAAGAAGAATTATCACAATTATCAATTGTAGAAGCTCCTGAATTATCATGTAGGGAAGATTACTTGGAAGAATCCAATGTTGTCCCGAATTGGCAGAGCCCTTCATGTAATCATAATCCTGATTGTTGCTTCTCTGATCCCTGCTTGTCCGATATATGATAATCCACATTCTGATACATTTCTGATAGAATCTGCAGACTATGCAGGGCATGATGGTTACCTGGGAGAGACTGATGATGTGGGAAGTTTATGCTCCAGTCCTGGTGATAGATCATATGATGAAGAAGACTATTCTTGTACTTTGGAAATTACAGATGAATCTGAGCTTGATGGTGAAGTTGAAAAGAGGTTATATCAAATGATTTCTGTTCCTGTAAGTATAGGTTTGGTGCGGTCATATAGTGCGTATGGATCTTGTAACTCATTTCAGCCTTTAATTCTTGGTTTCTTTACCGGGGACAGTTACCTTATTAGCATAGTAATTAGTAACTATATTCAGCATTTGCAGTTGCCAAGTCTCCTTGAAAATTAATGCCGTTCTTCCATATTGAAATTATGCAGCATAGGATTATGATTTTATCTTGCTTAATAAGGTCTTATCATCAGCTTTAAATTTCAAAACTTAATATCAGCGTTAGAACTTGTGTAATTTTTCTTTTTTCCATTTCCACTTATGGTAAAAATGATGAGTAGAATAGCAATAACTTTTTGTTATATATTCTACATGTGAAGTCCATGATATCTTAATTCTATTAATGTCTTAGTGTCTGAATTTTGTTTGATGACATGTTATGCCAATAAACATTTTTTTGTTTGCACCTCATGCCCATTGGTTGAAATTGCATAGTTACCTCTAATCAACTGTCTGTAGTATGTTTCAGGCCCCTAAGGGGCTCTTCTGCAAATCCTGATATGGATGCTTAGCTTGCTTTAGGACTTTCATCAATACTCCGGCAAATAAACATAGCCTCTATCTGTTTTATGCCATTATTGAAACATATTTGGTGCACCAAATATATGAAGAAATAATGCAATTAAAACTTTTCAAGTTTCTGAGATCAATTGACAGTTTTATGTGCTTGAATGATATCAGTTTTTAGAACTAACGGCATTCATTCATTTGTTTATGCAGCACATTCCAAGAATTAATGGAGGCATACCTTCAATTGATGAAGCAACATCTGACCATCAAAGGCTTCTAGATAGGTACTCGTAGTTCATGTGCATGCATGCTTGTGTGCTAGCCACCCCCAACCCCCTTCACCTTAAATGTTGCAATTGCTGCACAGATGCCTGTTTTTTGAGTAATTAATATAGCAGATTAAAGTAAGAAAGGGGAGGGAGACTCAGCTTATGGTAGAACAAGATGACTGTTCCATAAATGCTAATCTCAGTTTCTAACAGCAAATGAAAGATATTAACCAAAATCCGTTTTATTTCAAACATTTGAATGTGGAACTGGCTAAGTTACCATAGTTTGAGTTTGATGCACATGGAATGGGCTAAGAAAATAGGGATAACCTGTGTTCAAATACTTACCAAATCCCTTATCACCCTCTCAGGACTTGAACTGTGACTGCTTGACAGTGTTTGAAGCCTAACCCACTGGTTCCAAGCCTGATCTCTTGCTATAATGGTTGTTGAAGTTACTGAGAAATACATGAGACTCCATGAATTCATGGGCTAAGAAAATTGGGATAGCCAATGATTTAATATTTAGCAAACCCCATGTCATCCCTCAAGATTTGAACTGTGGCTGCTCGCCAATTTTTGATGACTTACCCACTAGTTTCAACCCTTTGTCTCTTGCTATGGTGGTTTTTGAAGTTACTATGAAATACACGAGACTCCATTCACTCATGCACTCTGGCCAAATGTATGTTTTGTTAGACATAGGCCTGTTTCAGTTAGTTCTTTTGCGTCATGCATATCAACTACGGTTCACTTGAATTCATTCAGATGGTAAGACTTAAATTTCATCATCTGTTTTCATGAGTTATGCATAATGTTGTGCTTCATGGTAAGTGGATGGGCGGAACATATGATCGGGATTTGATGTTGGATGGTGTTTGGTTTCAGATTGCAGTTATACGAATTGGTTGAGCACAAAGTTCAAGGAGATGGGAACTGTCAGGTCAATTGATACATCTTTTTCAATAAAAAACTACATCCCCAGCAGCTTTATGAAAACATTTTTGTGGCGACTTACCCAGCTTTGTACTAAAGTGATTCTCTCAAGTAAAATGTTCCCAGAGTCATCTCTTTAGTTATATGTGATGCAAAAATCAATTGCTGGAAAGAAGAGCTATGTAACATACAACTTAATCGCTTCCATAGCATATATCCATTGTTTTATGTAATGTGCAACTCATTTTTGAGTACCCGACTTAAAGACGTTCAAGAAAACACTTGAGTCCTTTTTTTTTTTTAATGGATTTGAAGGGCTGTTTTGTGGATTGTTTCTCAAATAAAATTATGATTTGCTAATAAAGTCTCTAGCAAAGTTTCTCCATGGTGTGTCCTTTACATCCATTCTGCGTGTCACCATCCATGCTTTTACTTAGGCAGTTCAATTGGGTCTTCAATTTTATGCTAGAATTTGGAATTTTGTTGTCTTTTATCTCTCTAACTGTAAATATTTATTGCATCAGAAACACAAGTCATGGTACGTTTGATCACGTGGAGTTGTTCTGCTAACTTCTGCTTTAGCATAGCAATGAGAAATTTTTTATATGATTTTATTACAATTAGTTTTTTTTAGATAAATTACGCATTACCTGTCCTCTCTTTCCCCCAGTTCCATGCTTTATCAGATCAATTCTACCGGACTCCTGAGCACCACAAATTTGTGAGACAGCAAGTAGTTCATCAGGTTGTCTTCTTGTTGTAATTAAATTTTTCTTTCATGATTTATTTCTTGCTGTATATGTGGGGTTCTTTTCTTGCACTTCATCTAAATGCTTCTGTCTTACTATGCATTGGTTGGGTATTTTCAGCTTAAAGCTCATCCAGAAATGTACGAGGGATATGTTCCCATGGAATATGGTGAATATCTGAAGAGGATGTCCAAGTACTCTTACAGTCTTTGCCTTGTTTCATAGAATCAACAGTTAAATTTCTTTTCCCTTCGCAGTGCTGGAAATCACTTTAATGCTTACCTTTGAATATTTAATGAACCAGGAGTGGGGAGTGGGGTGATCACGTTACTCTGCAGGCTGCTGCTGATTCAGTATTGATTACGATACCTTGTTACCTTCTTTCATTCATTTAGACGAGGGTATATGTGTCCAGAACTGACCTATCCTATTTTCTTTTCTTGCAGTATGGTGTGAAAATTCTTGTTATAACTTCATTTAAAGACACTTGTTACATTGAGATTCTTCCCAAGGACCAGAAGTCAAAAAGAGGTCACTATTTGAGTTTCTTATTATTGTGCTATTATCTGTTACACGAAATAATTCTCTTAGTTCTTGCCAATGATCAATAGATTATTCATTATAGGCCCATCGGGTGATTGACAGTTGAGATTCTTGTGCTGTTTGAATGCTTTGATGACGTGCTTCATGATGCAATACCTTTTCTATCTATTTGGCAAAGGGAAATATCATTAATTCGTACTGCCCAGAGCAATTAATAATGCGAACAGAAAACAAAAGCATTAAAAGCACATGATTTAGAGTTGTTCACTCTCAATGCGGGAGTTACATCGATGCTACTGCAGAATTTTATTATATCAAAGGAGAATTATGATGCATTCTGGATGCAGCCTCTCTTTGTTTTCTCTCTACCACCAAAAGAGACTTGCCCTAATACCGATCATATAGGAGGAAGTGGTGACCTAATACATGTGCAAGTTTCTCAAGGTACCCCTATAAAAATTTGCACCGGGAAAGAAGTGTACATTAAAATTCAGCTCCACACATCAAACAATGCTTAGGGTACTAGGAATGCTCACTCTCGTGCTTAAGTTTTCTGTCAGAAAAATGGCAAAACTAAGAGCCTCTATCTAGATGGATAAACCAAACTTACTATGGTACTCTTAAGGGCACACAGTATCACCCGGTCATGTGGGTCGAATTGTAGAAAGTTTTAATCTAAATATTTTGGCTTGCTCGTTGAAGAAAAGGAATGTAAGAATATCTATACCCATGCAAAAATAATGTAAGAATATCTTATCCCTTGAATTTCTAGTAACATTGTGTGGAACTTCATTGATGATTCGTCAATATTGAATAAACTCCAAAATTTGTGCACACTCCGACTGCCAGTCGGTAAGACTAGGTCTTAAGAACCAGTGTTTTCTATTTGCAAATTGTAAGTTATTTAGTTATTTATCATTTACTTTATTTTTATTTTTGTGGGTTGGGATGGTTCGGATGAAGCTTGTAAAGGAAATTAGTGTATTTAAGTACCAGAACTCTATCTAGTTTAGACATCACTCTCAACCCTGCAAACACGATCCAGTTTCTTATTCATGTTTGCTTGTGTTGAATTTCATTTTTCCCTTGTCACAGTTTTAGATAATTTCATTTGTAGCCTTAATTATGTCTTGTCTTGTGCAGTCATATATTTGAGTTTCTGGGCTGAAGTACATTACAACTCAATCTATCCTCAAGGAGGTAATAATCTATCTTGATTTGATTAGAAGACCTAAAAGACACTGATAAGAGGAGAGCAAAATGAAATGTTTCCACATGCAATTTGTGTTTTAAAGTTATCATAACTTCTACAACCAAGGTTTTTTTGCCTGACATTGTGCATTATACTGAACTTACTTATTCACTAATTTATGAAACCCACAAGTTTATGGTAATTCGGAGATTCTGCAATAAATTTTCGAACTGGGGTAATAACTAATTAGTTTTCTGCTTTTATGTCCATCCTAATCAGATTAAATCATATTTTATTATTGTTCAGATATGCCCCCAAGTGACATTAAGAAGAAGAAGAAGTGGTGGAACTTTCGGAATAAGCATTAGAAGTAATTAATCATTTGAAACTAATACTCAAGAAAGTATTTAGTTTCCATTTCTTTCGACCCTGCATCATCTTCTTTGGCTGAGAAGCAAGTACTTTCTCGGCTCGATATCTAAATAAGAAGTGTGGCTAAGCGATCCTCTTATTCACTAGCTGTTACTGTACCTGTGCTCTTTTTTTTCAATCACTATATATATATATATAATATATATATATATAATATATATATATATATGGGGTGGTGTGGGGTGGGGTGGGGTGGTTTGAATATGAAAATTGGAAAAAACCATAAGTACAGGTTTTTTTTCTTACAGAAGCTTTACAGGTATTGCGTTGGCAGTACTTAATTCACAGGTTTTTTTCACTAACTGCCAATAAAACTGCGTCAAGTGGAAGCCCGTAAAAATTCCATGAAGGTTTCCCTATATGTTTATCATTATTTATGAAAATTTCATTCTTCACACAGCAGAATAGTACAAGTTATCAAACCCCAAAAGGAAAATCAGTGTTCCAGAGATGTGCTCTTCCATGCTGGGTTCCATGGCAGTGGTCCACGATGAAATAAACTGTACTTGACTCAGAGATAAATATATAAATCTTTAAATTCCTTCCATCACACGTCCGAATGGCTCGCTAGAATTAGAATAGCCAAGTAAAATTTCACCTGACTTGGATCTCAAAAGTCTCCTATCGTTGTTTCTTGACTATGGCTGTCGAATCTCTTTCACAAACAAGTAAATTCTGCTTTTCAATTACCTGATTAAATTGAGTTCCGCCAAATTCTCCTTGAACATGCGTTCAGTGAAGGATATTTATTTTCTTCCAATTTTGAATATAATAAATTGTATTGGAACCCATAAAAGTCAATTTTCTGCAAGTTGTGTCTTGTTCTGGTGGGTGGAGGTGTTATTAAAAAAATTTGTGCAAATAGGAGCCATAATTTATAATTATCAATTTATCAGTATCAGTAATGTACATATCTGTCATCTTCGCTCATCATTTAACCACATACAGAATTATAAATAATCGAAACGAGATGAGAACCATTTTCAACTTATTCCTTAAAAGGCCCCAATTATCTTTTATCTAGCTATTAATGCCACTAGATTACTAGTATCTAGTGATCCTCAGCCACTCCACGGTGCCTCTCTTCCGCCTCCTCCCCCACCGCAGGCTGCAGTAGAAGAGCCGTGAATGGCATATGCCGATACGCATTGGGATCAAACTCCAGCCCCATTGGCGGGGGCGGCGGCGACTGGCAGATGTCCAGCCTACAGCTCAGCGGCTCGGATGGAAGCAGTGGAGCTTGTACAGAAGCGGGGGAGCGGGACAGAGGAATGGTGGGGGCGGTAAAAATGTTGTCCGCAGGAATCGTTCCCGTGCCGGTGGCGGCGATGATAGCCGGCTCGGCTTGGCGTAGAAGCCACTCAATGGTCTCCCCGTCGGAGCGATGGCCAAGCTCGCGCGTCAACTGGAACACCCGTGCGGCGCACAAAGCCGGCATTCTCACGCGGCGGCCTCTGCCATTGACTTTAGTGTGCCTATCCTTGGTGCACGACGAAGACCCATTTGCAGTTCTTGAAAGACCCAACTTTTTTCTAGCAGGTTTAGCACCAGAGGATTCAACAGCAGCGGCGGTGGCAGGATGTGGAATGACAGTCATGAGTGACTGAACAAGGTGGTGGCGGGAGGCTGACATGGGGCTGAGGTTATCAGAGGAGAGTTTGTAAAGGGCCGTTTCAGAAGCCATTTGAGGCGGAGGCAGAGACAGCAGAGAGAGAGTGAGAGAGAGATTAGGGTTTATTTATACTTGGGAGTAAAACTGGGTAAATGTTATGGTTTCTTAGGTGTAGACTAATGGCCCCACAAAAGACCGAGTGAGGCCAGTTCACTAGGTGATAACATCTAGGCAAAAATTCATAATTAAGAGGTTAAGAGGTGTCTGGTAGAAATTTTGAGAATTGATTTTTTGACAAGTAGAAATAAAAGGGGTCCTACCTGTAAGAGAATATTTCAAAAATAACTGTTGAAATAGTGAAATAACGATAAAAAATTGATTTTAATTGACTTAAAATTCCCACCAATTAGGGATGGCAGTGGGGCGGGATCGAACGTCCCACCCCCGCGACTCGCCCCACCTCAAACAGGGCGGGGCGAGGTCATGCTCCATTTATCGCCCCGTTTATTTTTTATTATTTTTTTTTAAATTTCAAATTATGTTATTATTAGATAATAAAATATAAATTCAAAATTTTAAAATTCAAAGTAAACACTTGAAATAAACAATGTTAAAAATTAAACAATTTCAAATAAAATTAAATTTTGATTAAATTTTATTTCTTTTGTAATTAATTAAAATTTTACATTTATATTTTATTATCTAATAATAATATAACTTGAAATTAGAAAAAAAATTCA